GTGGGTGTGGGTGTGGGTGTGGGTGTGGGTGCGGATGTGGGCGTGGGTGGGGTGTGGGTGTGGGTGTGGTTGCGGGTGTGATTTGTATATAAAGAGGACTCACACCTACACCCCACACGCACACCCACATCCCACACCCACACTCACATCCACACCCATATCCACACCAACACCGACACCCATATCCACACCCACACCCACACCCACACCCACATCCACACCCATATCCACGCCAACACCCACACCCATATCCACACCAACACCGACACCCATATCCACACCCACACCCACATCCACACCCATATCCACGCCAACACCCACACCCATATCCACACCAACACCCACACCCATATCCACACCCACACCATCAAGGTGGATACTGTTCATAGTTTAATCATTCAAATCAATAGTGGAATGTGTCCTCGTACAAAACGACTAATCATTAGAATTGCTCAAGATCGGACCAATGAGTTATATGATCGATTTAACAATAATGCAATTACAGTGCGAGAATTATTAGAAGAACTTTCTTTTTTTGTTCCAAATGAATAACTTTATAAAACTTTAATGGTTCTTTTAAATTAAATTTCATCGTTAATAACTTGATCTACTCTTGATCATTTTTTATTAGAAGGGCATTTTTCCACTATCATTTCTCCGGAACATTTTGGTCATAAAGGACATTTTTTCCAGAGGACCATTTCTCAGGGACATTTTATATGAAGGACATTTTATAAGAAGGACTTTTTTTCAAGGACAAAAAACTAGGGACATTTCGTCAAGGACATTTTTGCAGGGACATTCTTGACTGTATTCAAAAATATTCATTCGTTTATCTTATTCTTCTTTTTTTATTAAAATTAATTTTAGCTTCATATGATTGGATGATGCAAGAATCATCCGGTGTTGCTAGTGATTATATCACAACAACAATTCAATTTCTTGAAAATACATTTCGTGCATTTACACATTTACCAGTAGGTTTGGTTTTTTTTACAGAAAAAGATCATCGAAGAATATTTATTTATTTATTTTTGCTATTAATAATTAGTAAAACATTTCATTTTCTTTTCTTTTCTTTTTATTTTCTAGAGAAGAGTAAGTTAGATTGATTAATTATCACGTATTGCTGACTTTCTGCAAAAAATAAAATAAGAACCTAATTACTTGATATTTAGATGGAAAATCTGAAAGATAATTCTTTGTTTTTTGCTAATTGCTCTTATTAAATACTACGATTTCTTTTGATTTTTCTGCATGTTTTTTCTTTCATTGAATATTTTATAGACTCAATTATCTCAAACAACATGTTTATCAGCATGTAAACATATATCGACATCATTAACAGAAAAAATTCTTAGTCCGGAAGTTAAAGCAATATCATTGGGTGCACTTGAACAAATGAGTCTTGACTTAATGCAATGTGAAGGTTCGACTTTCTATGGTTTAATTTTCTTTTTTTCTTTTAATCTTACAAGTGAATATTTTCAACTGTCGAATGCTATTCAACTTGATGAAGAATTGATATCTGTTCGACTAAGAGAAGCCAGTAAAGATCCTGTTTTATGATCTACTAGGAAAAAGTTATGATTGTTTTTGGTGAATTTTGTTAGTCAAAAAAAGATATTGTTGAAAATATTAAAATATAGAATTCTATCGTGAAATAGAGTTAATAATCATTTGAAAGTTTTGGAAAAAACATCAACGTAGCATCTGTCGGTTGTTGATGAAGTCCGGTCTGAGTCCGATGGGGAAAAGTGGAAAATTGAATATCTTTCATACAACACATTCGTTTTCTTTGAAATTTCCAAATTATAGACAAACTTTCATGATAAAAAATACTGTATTTCAGCCAAGTCAAACGACATTCGACAGTTGAAGATGTTTCTTTGTCAGTAAAAAAAAACAAAGATTCATGATTTGTTTAGTATTTGCATCAAAAGTTAATATTGCAAATTTGGATAGTGAAACATTATTATTATGTTTTCAAGATTTACGTCAAGTAAATAGAAAAGTTATAAAGATAAAATAATTATTTATATTAATATATTTTAGTTACTTGATCTTATTATGGATAAGCAATGGTCACTTTATTTTGAACAATATGGTAAACCTGATTCACCATTTGGACGTGTTAATCCACATACAGCTTTAATTGTTGTTGAAAAGTATGTTAATTAAAATAAAAATTCATAATAAAATATTTTTGTTTTTGATTGATTTAGATTACGTGAAGGATTAAAACGACCATTATTACTTAAATTTAATCGACCAGCTTTAGAAAAAGAAAATATTAAATTATTAGAAACAGTTTCAAAAGATTTACGTAGTTTAATTAATGATATTTCATAAATAAATTTTTTGATTTAAACAAAATTTCTTTTCTTTTTGGTGCACTTCTTTGTGAATTGTTATACTTCTGTTTTTCTTTTCATTCTCTTCTTCCTTTCAATTATATTTCATGTATATTTGTATGTTTGAAAATGTTATTTAACTAGTTATTTGATTATATACGTATATATATATATATATATTATTTTTAAATGCGTATGTTTTTTTTGTATGTAATAAGAAAAAAATATCATAGAAAGTGAAATTTTATATTCAAATTTGTAATATTTAATCGTAATTTAAGATATTGATGGAATAGTCTTAAAATAAACTATCCGATCAGTGAATGAGCTGAAAATCCTTCAAGAGAAAACTATGGATTGGATTAGACTGATGGATTTCTACAATCGACACCTATCAATAGAGTCCGACGAATGCAAAGTTTTCGAATCCCAATGTGAACTTCTTCTTTTTATGGGACCTGTCGGATAAGTATAAAACGTGAGTCCGATAGGCTTCATTCTGATATGATAATAATCAGCTACAGATAATATGTTAACGAAGAATTATGGTTTATTGAATGTTGTTTTTTTATTGGAATCTACTGAGTCTTGGATGAACCCAACAGATTCTACACAGGTTTTAATTTTCGAATACAACAGAAAAAAATAAAGATTTGTCTTTTTTAGATAGAATAAACTTTATTGTTTTCTTAAAATCTATATTCGCTCGTTCAGAAAAAGAAAGCACAAAATAAAATGTATTTCATATCTCTTTTTTGATAGTCTTGTTGTTTTTAGTGTTAATTAACATGATATCATAGCCCTTAGAAAAAAACTTATCAGAGCAATCCCTTCAATGCTAAAATGTGGAACTCACATGTGTTCTTTACCCTCAGTATGCTTATACAAAATTATGTTAAGTGGAAAATCTCTAACAGACTATAGTTATTTTCCAAGGATAATATATCGCGAAGGAAACAGTCGGTTTTATTTATTTCCGCATTTCGAACAGATAATTTTTCTATTGTTTGCTTTTCTGCTGTTCATTATCGTATTTTTTGTAACTATTGATTTCACCGATAAAGAAGCCTACTGTAAATATCTATTAGATCTACAGAAAATTCTCAACGAACTGTTATCTGTCTTGATAAGCTCAAAAACACTAATGTTGATTTTTTCCTATAATCATAATTTGATCAGTCTTGAATAGAAATTTGTATCTGTAGAAAAATAAAAAGTTCCAATATTTAGAATATTCAAAAACATATTCCAGTCGTTCATATTTTGAGGAAGGAGAAGCCCCAAAGCTTTGAATAGAAACTCATACTCAGTATATTTTTCTTCGAAAAACATGGTATAAGTTCCACAAGCGTACCGTAAAATAAATCTCATGAAGGAGCTTCTCTTCAGGTGTCAAAATACTTTTCGACCGAGACGATGTTCACTTGATGAGCACTAATGATTTGTAGAAAAGTCTTGAATAGTTTGGCTTTTGGGGCCTTCGTTCCATATGAGAGAATTCAGAACATTGAATATCTCAGTATAGAAAATATTAGAAAAATTACAACTTGTCCAATGAACTAATTTCATTGAGAACTTTGTTCATGAATAGTTTGAATTCGAAACTTGAAAGTTACCCGAATGAGAGACCACAGCTTTTTATTGAAAAACACAGTAAAGTTTCGATATCTCAAGGACGAGGGCCTGAGAAACCAAACCATTCTAGACTATTCTATTACTTATTAGTACTTATGAAATGAACATCGACTTGGTCGAAAAGCAATTTGATAATTGGAGAGCTTCTTCTCATCAGCTTGATATCAAAGAAACAATTCATTAATTATAAAACTTTGCATAATAAACTGTAGTTCTTAACATTATGAATTTCATAATTATTTTCATTTAAACAGACGAGAGAAAAAATTCAATATATCATACTCTGAAAACGTTTCATTTATTTTTTCTTTTTGTTCAGCATATACATAAAACAAAACAAAACAGGAAGAACACAAATAATACATGCGTTTATTAAACAGCAAAAAAAAAAGAAAACAATGAAAATATTATCTTGCAAATAGATCACCAGCACTAGGTAATGGTGGTACTTGAATATTATTAACATCTTGTGGTAAATTTTTTCTATGTTTTTCAATTTCTTCACGAATTAAATTTAATTTTGATAATTTACTTTTATAATCTTCTAAAAGTTTTTCTTCATGTTCAATTTGTCGATCTTGTGCTTGAATATAACCTTGTAACATTTTAGCTGCATAACGACGTGAACGTAATTCACTTTCTAAACGTAAATTATATTCTTCAAGTAAACCATGTGCCATTTGAACAAGTTTATATAAATCAGTTGCTTCTTGTTTATCACGAAGATTTTTTAATAGATTTGAATCACTAACTTCAATAGGTAATGCAGCTATTTTTTCTCGTACCTAAAATGACAAAAACAAAAATTATTATTTTTTTTTTTTTTTTTTTGAGTAAGATATGAATAAAAGAAAATTTACATCAGCATCAGATGATGGAGAATTTTCTAATTCTTGTAACATTTTAACAAGTTCATCAACAGCTGGTACTGGTATAGGATTAATTGCTAAATCACGACGAATTTCTTCACGAAGAGATAATTTTCGTTTAAGTTTTCGTCGTCGTTTTGAATTATTTGCAGATGTTGAGGATGGATCAGTTCGTTTACGTTTACCATGTTCATTTGTTGGATCATCATCATCTTCATCATCAGATTCTTTTTTCTGAATCTAATATATATTCAATAACAAAAATAATCTACGTATATTGTTTAAGTAAGATTAATATAATTATACAATTATGAATTCGAAAATCGTATATATATTTTTCTTTATGGAATCTATCGCCATATATCCACATTTAATATGTCTAACCAACTCTATAGGGATCTATTTGAGTCTTACTTTGTATGAGTTTTCAAGAAGAGTGTATACTCTATGATACTCTCACATTACTAATTACATATATATGAATGTTTAAGTGCTATAAAGACTTTTTTTTTCTTCGATACTAGTTATTTATTAAGTCTGCATTGGGAATACAGAGCAAACAGACGACTCTTACGAGAAAAATTCTCCAACTGATTAATCGCTTTTGTGTCAAGACTATGTGCATTATGATATAGATCCAGATGAACTATGAATACATTAAGAAGAGTTCGTGCCGCCAGCTTATTAATACGAAGATACTACACTTTAACAGTGTTGTTAAATGAATGTCGTAGTCTAGAATTTTGATTTACTTCTATCCTGAAATAAGAAAAACAAATCTGCTGGTTTATATGAACAATATAAAATGTATACTATTGTCATGGTTGTATCTAAGAATAGGAATAATGACAAGATCTAAATTATTCACAATAAACTATTCTCATTAAGATCTATGTCTATAGGAAGTTTAAAGTGGGAAGTCAAAGATTAGTTTTTCTGGACTACGACATTTATTTTAAAAATACCGAAAAAGTATCATCGCAGCAATAAGCTTAGAATACAAATCGTTTTCAATGTACTCAAAGTTTTTTTTATACATCGTTATAGACCATACCGCAAAAGTATTGATAGAAATTAATAGAAACTGAAAACTTTGTAATTCATTCAATAAATGCCTATACAAAGAATGATTCATGAAAAAAGTAAACACTTAAAATGTAGAACAGTTGTCAATAAGAGGATAAGTTCTCTTTGAATTTTCAGAAATGATGTATTTTTTATTTACAAAAATTAAAAAAAGTTTTAAACTGTCACACGATAATTTTAACAATTACATATTTACGTAAAATAATAAAAACAATGAAAAAAGATATTCGTCATTAGAAATGAAATGAATTAGATCATAAGACTATCCTTCTTTGTTCGTTGATGTCCAGTCTATTCAGTTTTAATTGAATTTATCCGACCTAGCTATAGACAGTATTGACACTAATAGCAAACAATAACATATATTTTTCCTAGTACATATATTACGAAGCGTGAAAGCAGAAAAAAATGCTTTTCCGATTGCGACTGAGATCAACAACAATTGGTCGTGCTCATCACTAATCTAACTAATTTTGTTTCGTTGACAATAAATTTTAATTAAACTTCTTATTATTTCATAATTATTATAATAAAATAAGTCAGCATATCGATATACTTTTGTTTTTCATTTTAGCCATATCTATTTATACATGTATATTCAATAGCATAGACATGATAAAACAATCGCAATATAAACATATTGATGTAATCATAAAATCAATCAAGCGAAATATATGAATTGTATTTGTCTAACAAGGAAACATTTTCAAGTAGCCAATCATTTTTGAATTCGAACTCTGTGAATACGGTAGACTTCAGTGAAATATGAAAAACCTCAAAATAATAAGTCTTCTAAAGCTCTCTGTCAAGAGCTATAGGCATTTAACTAGAATTTTAGCTTCTAGCATGGTAGATATCAACAAATCGAATAATGATATTTCAATTTGTTGATATTTCATTTCCCTTACCAGAAGCTAAAATTCTAATAAAATGCCTATAACTCTTCATAGAATACCTAAAGAGAATTATCTTTTCATTTATGAATTAGTTTTTAATTCATTTAAATTCTATATAAAGACATAATCTTACTCCATTTTCATAACTTGTTTTAAGCAATTTGATTGCATCAGGTTGATATATTTGTCGTTCATTCCATATTTGAATAATTCTTTTAACAGTTTTATGAATATTTTCATCATCAACTTGACTAACAATATGTTGTACAGCTGAAGCAAGCATTGGAAGAAAATCTTTTACGAATTCACCACCTTTACGTTTATCATGTTGAATAACATCATTAGCAACATAAAGAAATGCTTCAAAAAAAAAAAAAACAATTATTCAAAAGCAAAAAAAGAAAATAAAAATATTCATTTTACCAATTTTTCTATCTGATGTTGCACTAACTAATTCTTTTGCCCAAATATGAACAATTGTTTGTGATTGACGACGATGATGCATAAGAAAT